TCACTACTTTGAAGAAGAAACTATTTAAATACAGTTCCAAGATAAATTTTTTAAAAGAGCTAATAAAAGTTGGGCTCTTGGCCAACCTTGACTGCTAAAGCTAAGCCATTTTAGAAGAGAAGGAAATCTGGCTTTTCAAGACATTGTAACTTCATGACTATCTCTCAAAACTTTTTGAAAAATTGTTTTTAGTTTCTAATTGATATTTCAAGCTGGAGAAGCAATGTAAATAATGAGAACAATGATATATATATCATTTTTATGGTCATAAAACCATCCTGCCAACCTTCCACCAAAGCTCAGAAGTCATATGTTCAACTTAACACTTTAAGGACCAAAAAAAAAAAAAACCAAGTGGAATTCTCATCCTTCACCTTTAAAACAAGGGAAGAGTTTAAGAGATCATCTGGTTCAAAATTGCTCAGAGGAGGTTTCATGAAACATTATTTTCATAAAATATTCTGAATATCAGTGGGGTGATTCAGATAAGTTTGGGAGCACTTGTGGAGAGTCATAATGCAGTTATTCCATTAGTGAAGCTTACAGAAAAGCAATAGTTACATTTCTTAAAAATTTTTCAATTTTTATTAATCCTATTTGAATGCTTTCTGCAGCAACTTTTTACTAAAATCCTATAAAATTAATGCTTTGTAGAAAACCCTGTATATTATGTATGAAGAATCTTAAGTCCAGACAGGCTAGGGGATTGTCCCTAAGTCATAGAATTAGTTGGTAGATAAGCTAAATCAGATCTCACCTTTTTTATTTTCAGATCTCACCTTTTAGGACCCCACTTTGGCGCTACTCCTAGCACCGTTAGGCTCTCTACTGTAACACCTACACTCCTTGAAGGATCGATCACAGACTATAATAAGGACCACATCTTGGAGATCATCCAGTCTAAAGACCTATTAAAGGTGGGGAAATACATCTCACAGAAGTGAGGCAGTTTGCCCAAAGTGACACAAAATCAAATTCTATAGTAGAACAAGAACAGAACTTAGATCTTAATTTCATCATCAGTAACCTTTCACAACAGCATACTAACTCCTGCAAAACCAACACTTCTTGTCTTTGAGGAAAAGGAGTTGGGGGCAAGATGGGCTTTAGTTATTTAGGACCCAGTAAAATATTTATTACTTGTATCAATAGGTATTTACAATCAATTAAACATGATTGTCTTTACTAACAAATGTCATCCACTGTGACAGGGAATCAATGTTTTAAGCTGTTGAACAGGTAATCATCCCTGTCTCACTGGATGACACCTGTAAATAAAATAAATCTATTTTTGAGTGAGTAGATTTTAAGCCAATTAGATTTAAGATACATGCAGTTTATAGCAGAGTTATCTTTTTAAATGATTCTTAATTATGTACTGCTAAAGAAAAGGACTTTTCAGTGTCACCTACTTGACTATATGCAGCTATCACTGGCCATCAGCACAAAAGCATGCAGGTAATGTATATGTGATATTGCCAGAATACATAAGAAGTCAGGGATCCTAGAGCTAAAAGGGTCTTCTAGGCATTATCTACCTCAGTCTCTTGCATCTGTGAATATTATTTTCACTTTGTAGGAGGATGACAAAGGTCTTACGAAGTTAAACGATGAGCCCAGTATTTAATAGCTAAGTCTCTTTAGCTCACCTTGATGTTGAAAACATTATATATACAAAACACGTTAGCAAAGATTATCTTTAGGCTGACTGACTTTGAAAGACTCATCTATACAGATTTTTTAAAGCATTGTACAAATGTTCTTAGCATATTCTAGCACACCTGTATAAAATGCATTCTCAGTATTATATATTTAAATACAAGCATTACTGAAAAATGTCACAAATGGGAAATAACTGAAGGTAAGAAAATGGAAATTAGAGACTGAAAAGAACAATATTAAATATAGCATGCACTTAGGGTTTTAAATTCTGGTTATGTCCCTCCTGCCAAAGGAATTTACAGATTCAATGCAATTCCCTACCAAATATCAGTATTATTTTCCAATGAAGTAGAATAATCCTAAAATTCATATGGAACCAAAAAAGACCCTGAATAGCCAAAGTAATCCTGAGAAAGAACAACAAAGCTTGAGATATCATGCTCCCTGACTCCAAGCTATACTACAAAGCTACAGTAAGCAAAACAGTATGGTACTGGCACAAGAACAGACCCATAGATCAATGGAACAGAATAGAGCACCCAACTATAAACCCACACATATATGATCAATTTATATATGATAAAGTAGCCATGAATATACAGTGGGGAAAAGATAGCCTCTTCAATAACTGGTGTTGGGAAAATGGGACAGCTACATGCAAGAGAATGAAACTGGATTACTGTCTAATTCCATACACAATAGTAAACTCAAAATGGATCAAAGACCTAAATGTAAGACATGAAACCATAAAACTCCTAGAACAAAACATAGGCAAAAATCTCCTGAACATAAGCATGAGCAATTTTTTTCCTAGACACATTTCTTGGGCAAGGGAAACAAAATAAAAAATGAACAAGTGGGACCACATCAAACTAAAAAGCTTCTGTACAGCAAAGGACACCATCAGCAAAACAAAAAGGCACCCCACAGTATGGGAGAATATATTCATAAATGATTTGTCCAATAATGGGTCAACATCTAAAATACACAAAAAACTCATACCCTTCAACACCAAAAAAAACCACACCCAAATAACCTGATTAAAAATTGGGTAGAGGACCCGAATAGACACTTTTCCAAAGAAGAAATAGAGATGGCCAACAAGCACATGAAAAAAAGTTCCACATTGTTAATCATCAGGGAAATGCAAATCAAAACCACAAAGAGATATTACTTCACACCAGTTAGAATGGCCACTATCAAAAAGACATTAAATAACAAAGAGTTGGCAAGGATGTGGAGAAAAGGGAACCTTCTACATGGTTGATGGGAATGTAAATTGGTATAGCCCCTGTGGAAAGCAATACAGAGGTTCCTCAAAACACTAAAAATGGAAATACCATATGATCCAGTAATTCCACTTCTAGGAATTTACCCAAAGAAAACAAAATCCCTGATTCAAAAAGATATATGCATTGCTGCATTATTTACAAGAGCCAAGATATGGAAGCAATCTTAAGTGTCCATCAATAGTTGAATGGATAAATAAGATGTGCTACATAAACACAATGGAATATTATTCAGCCATAAAAAAAATCCTGCCATTTGCAACAACATGGATGGACCCAGAGGGTATTACGCTAAGTGAAATAAGCCAGGTAGAGACGACAAATAACATATGATTTCACTTACTTGTGGAATATTAAAATAAAACAAAACAGCAGTAGACTCAGACACTAAGAAGGTAGTTACTATGGGGGAGGGGTTGCAGTGAGTTGGTGGGGTATAAAGAGGCACAAAAATTCTCAATCATAGTAAGTTGGTCATGGGGACAGCAGTAGCATGGAGAATATATTATATCATGCTATAGAATATAGCCAATGATTCTGTAACATCTTCCTATATTGACAGATAGTAACTACACTAGTGGGGGTGAGGACTTAATAATATGGGTAAATATTACCATATTTAATAATATGGGTAATACTATGAATCACTGTGTTGTATACTTGAAACCAATATAAGACTGTGTTATCAACAATACTTCAATAAAAAAAAAATTCTGGTGAGTTCCAAAAAAGATTTGTGGTTCCTAATAAATATAAGTATATAAAAAAACATTATCTACAAATTTTCTACAGTCTGTAATTTAAAATGTTGGTTTCTCTATAGTCACAAAACGCTACTCTAAGTAAAATCTGCCAGAAACTAAAATTTGGGCTGGACAATGAACATTTTAAATTTCCATTCTTTACCTAAGTACTCTAAGACAACTGAAAGTATTTTAGGATGCTGCTTTGAGGTAATATGGCTGTTGTAATAACACTGCCACTTAACTCAAATTGAGTGCTGACTAGATGCCAAGTACCATTTGTTTACTTTATGCATACTATCATCCTCACAACAACTTGATTACTATTACAATTTTGCAAATAAGAACATCAAAGCACAGAAAAATTACATAACTTGCCAAAGCTCACTCAATTGGTAAAATGGTGGAATTTGCAAACAAATCTATTTGGTGACAGAATACAAGATCAAACCACTATACAATACTGCATTTCTTTAATATGACAACTGAAGATTCTCAGAGATATAAGAATTAATAAATACAATTCCACTTAGAATATATAGAATTTCCCCAACTAAATTTCACACAACACAAAACACTAGGAAATTCTCTCATTCTTTTCCTTGGGATTGAGAGCAGAAGCTAGGGACAATTTTCAAATAAAATGATCTTAATGCCAAGGAATTAAAACTTCTGATATTCAGCTACATGTATGACCACTAAAATATAACAAATTGTCTAGAAAAAAACTGTCTTTTATTATTAGAGCAAAGTCTTTCTAATTCAATTACTTCTTAAGAATCCATAAAGAGATCATTCCTCCTATTACTCAAGACTGATTCTTAAAACAGCATTTAGTTATTGATAGATATGTTAATCACATATTTTTAAAATATGGGTATATATCATTTTTCTAATGAAAAGAATTATTTAGAAAGTAAATTATGTTTAATGAAAACAAAAAAGTAATTTTGACTGATAATGCAACACTCTCAATTTCTTATGTTATAGCCATCTTTTCTTTACCAGAAGTTATGCTTCTGACCAAAACCCCTATACTTTACTAGAGGCCATTTACACAACATATTTTAAAAACTGAAACTGATAAAATAGGAAATAATCTGGAGTACAAAAATATACCTGACATACTTTAACTGAACAAGAATTAGATAGATGCAAAGCTCAACACCACAAAAACTAGACATTAAGGAAAATGCATATCCTTCTCAAAGCACTCTGGAGAAGTAATAATCTCTTCTGGCAATAATGGTTTTCTTATAAGGACCCCAAACAGAAGAAGAACAAGTGTGGTTTCATGGTAGCTTACCCTTTTCTCTGATACCCCATCCTGGCCTGTAGACTCTCTCTCATCATGTGTCTCTTTCAGGACTGGCATATGTTTTTGGTATGCTGGCTCTCTGCTTAAGGTTGTGTATCCTATGTGCTCATAAATTGGGTTTATCGTCATCTTGGCAATGTATTCTGCTGCCTTGGTTTCAATATAGAGAGTAATCAATCCATCAGTCACCAGATCGTGGATGGACTCAAAACGCTTCTCCCCAACAAAGTGCTTGCCATCGTAGTAGAGCCTGAAGTTTCTGGTTTGACTTCCAAATCTGCCTCAATGAAATGGGAAAGATGTTTTTAAGAAAAGTAAGCAAGTGAATTCTTTCTGGAAAAAAAAAGCAAAAAACAAAAAACCATTGCTTTGTGTGTGTCTGTTAAACTGTGGCTAATCTCTGTGAATTGCCTGGAATATAGAAATTAAACTTTTGAACACAAACAATGAAACTGCAACAGCTAGGGATAACTAGCCAAAAGCATGCCTATTCTAGAAGGAAAAATGTGTTCCTATTTATCTTTTTAAGCCACTTCATTGTGCCTACAGCAAAAACAAGGGAAAATAAACCTCATATTCTATTAGAACACATTCTGTATTCAATTGGTCAACTCCATGATATAGGATATTTCTATATTAATGTGTTCTCTTCAAGTTGATCAATAAAAATATTTAGTGGACTTTAGACCCCAGCATTCATGCCTTCTTATGGGAAAGCTCCATTTAGGGCTCACATGAATGTGTATTTAAAGTAGAGCTGATTCCAGGACCTGAGTCATACAGTAGGGCTGCATGGCACAGAAACATATTTTCGCTATTTCCAGCCATGGGTCAATGAAGCTCTTCCCTTTTACACAGTCATTCATTTGTACCTGCTTGTTGAGTCCGGGCAAAAAATGTTCGCAATACATATACAGGGTATGTAAGTCGAAAGCTATTGGACTCCAGGAACTATTCTCACTTTTGAGTCATGTTTTGGCGACATACTTTAAAACCTGGGGAATAACAGTTTATTTTTATGATAATTTCAGTATTTCCTACAGCAAACCTCAGAGGTGGATAGACGTTGGCATGACTAGCATCAGCGTCTTTGCAAGAATACAAAGGCAAGAAAGTGCACTGACTTTAATGAAAGCTGACCCAAAAGGCACCAAAGGCCAGTATCATGGTCTCCTAAAGTAGCTCCAAGTGAGCCTAAATTAAAAATGAAACAAGTCAGAAAGGATGTATTTAATTTCACTGTTAAAATTACATAGGACAGAGATGAGCTAAAATGCTATAACACTACCCTGTTTAATACTAAGACAAAAGAGGACTGCAAAGTTATGCAACAATATTATTGTGGTACAGGTTGTATTCCAGAAGGAGAGGAGTTAGAAACTTTTTAATTGTCATTTTTAATGTGTCCTTAAAAAAGGAAGCAAAATATTTTTTAAAAAATGGCCTGGGGTATCTCTGCTCCTGTAGTTCTCATTAGACTAATACTTATAAGAACTCAACATTCTAGCCATTCTGGTCCTTGTTCTAAAATAAAATTTATCCACCTTTTGATTCTTTAGAAGCAACTAAATTTTTATTTACACTCCAGTGAATGATCCACATAATTTTGCTTTTCCATTCTTCATTTTCCTCTATTAATGTTAAAGATACATTACTCCCAAGGAAGTTATTATAGTGTAAAAAATTGAAGGTAAAATTTCTACCAAAGTTAAATATAAATTTTTAAAGTTTAATGTACTGCTTTTATTTCCTCTTTACCAATATATACTGTTATCGAGAAATAAACATGGAAAGCCACTTTATAATTTGTATAAGGTTCTTACAATAATAAACACAGCATTGTTTAACATTGAGTTCCTTTATGTGTCAGTTTTATTCAGAGGCATTTCAATGAAGGATTAGACTGTTTTACTCCTACAGGGGCTTATAATTTTACAATGGGCATTGCCACAATGGGCATGGCAGTTAAAGACTAAGTAATGGTGGCAAGCATGTGTCACTTACTGTCTTCTGAAATGTAAGAAGTATAGGAGCATAGGGTGGAAAGGAAGATTGCTCAACTGGCCTCATGTGGGCTGAGCTGGGCTGGATGAAAGAGCAAAGTCTTGGATTAGACTTTCTGGCACTTCACAATGGGCTTTCTAATTCCTCCAAGGAGATCATGTCCTGGCTACCTCTTATTGGGTGAAAAAGACTAACTAAGTTTGTCCTTTTCTCTTTCTCATCATGATTTCAAAAGCCCCTAAACACAGTTCCTAATTCCTCTTCAGCCTGCACTTCAGTCTAGACTTCCAGTACAATCAAACTTTCAGTCTTAAGAGAGCTGATAACTAAAATAACTCATAACATGGATTGATTAAAAGTTAACCTCAAAGAACAAGATTCCATCTTAGAATTATGATTGATTTTCTAAAGAAAAAAATGTATTATTTTAAATACAAGATCTGTAAGCTTTCTTCGCCTACTCTGGACTGCCTTCTCTTACTTTGGAAGTTAACATGAAGAATAGCATCGCATCACAGACCAACAGAGATATCTCCCCCTCTGTGATCTGAAAGGCATGGTTTCCAGAAAATCTTTTAGTGAGGTAGGGAATGGATGTACCCATTCAAAAAAGACATAAAAGGGGAGATGCCAAATCTAAGGGTAAATAAAGAATACCTCCTTATAAAAGTGTACTGCTCATAGATTGTCATTTATTCAACAAACATTTAACAAGAAACCCAGGAAACCTGCAAATATCAGGGAGTTTATAATGAAGTTCCTGTTCCCTTAGTTACCTCAGTGAGAAAGAGACTGAGGTAAAACAAATCAATACAAATACAGGATGAAATGTTGAATTTTAGAGTTTATCTTTCGATTGATTTCTAAAAAATTACTGTAAAAATGTGTATAACCTTGTTTCAATATAGAAAAGTTACATTTCTGTGCAGTGATTCATGAAACCAAGTGAATCCAGTATACACCATGAAAACTAAGAAACTCCCTGTTAATAAGATCTCAGAGCATACATACTTAAACTGGCATAAGATCTCAGAGGTACTGTTTATGTCAAAGCACAAAAGCATCTTTTCAGACTTGAAATAGGGTTTGACCAGGGAAAGGCAAGCGTGGGTCCTATGTGTTTAACAGGAAACCTCAGGCTTTGCATCAGACAGAGTAGGTTTAAATCCTGTTATCTGCCACTTCTTAGCTGGTGATTTGGGAAAATCATTCTTCAGATTCTGCATCTAGAAAATAGGAATAATATCACCCTACTATATGGCTGCATAACAAATTTAAGTTAAAGCTAAGTACTTAGTAGGTTCGATGAATGGTAGATAGTTCCCTTTCTCCTTCTCTACTAGCCTAGACTCTGCAGAGAATGACAGAATGAGTTTTCAAACAATAAAACGGAAGAGATATATTCAATAAATATTCATTTTGAAGTGGGTTGAATAAACAATTGGTAACAGTGGTTGTACAGGAACATCTCTGCACTGGTTGATTTTACAGCCAACAAAAGGTAAAGGGGAGCTCTTTGTGAATTTCTCTTCTGAATGTCCCTGAATAAGTTTTTACTACTTGGTTAGACAGAGTGGAACTATAACAAAGGGCAGGGTGAGAGAAACAAAGAGTATTTCCACTGTGCCTTGGAAGTAGATCTCTGAATTCAAAGGAGAAAGGCCAGTACATATACTCAAATAACAGGACACATTATACACATCTAGTGACAACTGCTAAATGTACTGCAGAGTACTGATTCATAAAAGCTGTTAAAGCTAAACCATTTTACCTCCATTTTTACAGGAAAACTGTCTCTTCATTTTATATTTATTATCTGCCTCTGCCCTTGCTTTTTAATAATTGTTCATCCTTTGGTAAACATGTTTGAAACTGTATAGGTCCAACTCTCACCTAGGTAGAGTTCAACAAATGAAAATCCATTTTCTCCAAAGTGGTACTGTAGTTAACAAATAGAAAAGACAGATTGGGATAATTTGCTTTGAACTGCCACTGCTGTACTAAATTACTACTTTCCTGAAATGTTTTTTTCTCCAGTGATTCCAGGTTTTGGTTTTTATATCTCAAAAAGTTGTTTAATGCTGTGCCTAGTTGCACTCAGATGAATTACAAAATATATAATTCTAACATCTAGCTTTAAAAAAGGAACAAAAACCTTAGTATCATTCTTTTTATTTTTTAGCAAGTAAATTATATTCATAAAAATCCAGTCTAGAGGTACAAAGTGATGAAAATATGTACAAAGAATAGCCTTTGGGATTTTATTTTGCTTTTTCCTAAAACCAAGAATAAGTTCTGATTTGAGGTCAAAGTATTTGGAAGTATCTCTTCAAAGGAAAGCTCCAAGCTAACAGATGTTTCCTATTAACAAAAAGAAAACAAAACATATACAACACACTTGTCTAAGTTAACAATAAAATGTTAGAACTATTTCCAGACACTAACATACAAGAACAATTCTGTCATAAGCATATATTTGTTTACTGTTTACCAGAGTCAAAGAAGCTAATCTAATGGTAAAATACAAATGTCATAAATTAATTTACTCATAAACATATCTTTGAAAGAAACATTAAAACAGAGACATTCACTTAAATACTAAAAAATGAGCATACATTGGATTAAGTAAATAACAAGGGCTAAGGAAGAAGGACATAGCTATACACGATTTTAGAATTAGTTTCTCCACTTAAAACTTGTTAGGCTACTACTTTTGTCCATCTTGCTATATAATTCCAGATGGTAAAATGGGGTGAAAATATTAAAATATGTGAACTTATGATGATCTCCCCTTGGTAGAATAAATCATCTCCAGGAAAGGAGCAAAGCAATGTGCCTAACTAAACCTCCAAAGGCACCAGGAAGCTCTGGAAGGGGGAACTGATACAAAAGGGTAAGTTGCAGGTCTGCTTAAGCAGCAGTGAGGTATCTCCCCTCCTCAATCTTTTCTGCAATGTCCCCATTACCCAACTCTGGTGGAAGACTTAAGTCCTGTTCTCTGGATAGAGTAAAACAAGGAGATAGGGAGCTGAGAACACCAGGCAAAGCTGAAGGGAGAGGTAGAACCCTGAAAACTAAGTGGTTTTAAATACTGAAGATTGAGAGCTCCATCCCTCTTCACCACTGCTTCTCAGAGGCTTGGATCCTTCCTGATTGGAGACTGGAAGATTCTTCTCTGAGGAACCTGATCAGCCCAACTAAAAAGACTTAAGAATAGAAACATCACCCACTAGTAGGTAGGTTTCTCTCAAGCTCTCAGAACTACCAGTCAGC